CACAGTCAAGCTGTGGAATGCTCTACCTTCTTTTATGTTTCCATAGTCTTACCATCAGTCTCACTTCAAAACGCAGGTTTTCCTACATCATTGTGGTGTAGATTAATATAGTCTCTTTATCTTCTATTTTAATTTTTTATATTCGCACTTTTTCGTCCCCTAGGCCCCGATGTGAATCGATGACCTGTGCCCGGGTGGGATATTTCCCGTTAAAAAAAATGTAAAAATTATCCACTCTCGGACCTATAACAACCCAGAGTCTCTTCGCCCAAGCTTAAAAGAAAAAGACACAGTGCTGGACAACAGTGATATACTACTATAGGTACTGCAGCTTTACTTGTTCCACTCATCCACTACTGTATTTCCTAACCAGTGTTTACCTATCTCACTCCTTAATCTAAATTTGTCTAATTTAAAACCATTGCTACGAGTTCGCTCATGGGTGGATAATTTAAGTACATTTGTTTTATTACTTTTGATTAACTTTGACTTTGGTTTATACACCTCGATCATATAACATTTACTTTACGTTTCTCGAGGGAATGAAAATTCAGATGCTTTAATCTGTCTCTCTATTCAAGTTTCCAAATGCCCTGGATTAATCTTGTCTTCATCCTCCGAATACTTCTTAGTGATTCGATATCCATTTTGTAGTACGGTGACCGAAATTGTACCGCATAATCGAAGTGAGGTCACACAAGTGAAAGATATAGTTTAAGGATAACCTCTCTAGTCTTGTAACTAACACTCCTTTGTTTGAATCAAAGTACTTTGTTAGCCTTGTTTTGTGCAAATGGCATTGTTGTCTTGGTTTAAGTTTCCTACTTATCATCACTCTTAAATCTTTTTCACTGTCGGATTTCTCTATAACAAAGTTGCTCATTTGATAACTGGTTTCTCTATTTACATCTCCTAGGTTAAGTACATTACATTTGTCCTAAAAAAAATTCATCTGCCATTTTTAAAACCACGCAGAATTATTTTTAGATCATCCTGTAATTCTACAGAGTCCTCATCAAATTTAATTACACTCCCTATTTAATGTCGTCAGCAAATATTCTCATGTTGATGTCTACACCTATATCTACATCGTTTATGAATATAATAAAATAGTAATGGTCCAAGTACTGAGCCTTGTGGTACTCCGCTAGTGACATTACTCTAATCTGATTTAATGCCATTAATGCTTACTTTGTTTCCTTTCCCATAACAATGATCTAATCCAATTTAGAATAAGTACTCCAATTCCATGAGCATTCACTTTATGTATTAGTCTTTTGTAGGAGACTCTGTTGAATGCTTTGCTAAAGTCGAGGTAAATTACAGCTGAAAAAAATTATAATAGATTTCTTAGACATGAGTGCCCACTTGTGCAACCATGCTGGAAATCATTAATCAACTTGTGTGTTTGTAGGTGATTTAGAAATGAATTTGAAATTATTGCTTACAGAAATTTGTCTACAATTGATGTTAAACTGATCGGACAGTACTTAAAGGAAAGTGATCAATCCCCCGAATTGAAAATCGGTATTACATTATGCTTTTCTCCAGAATTCTGATAATACACCCATTTTTAATTACGTGTTAAACTTGATTGCGAGGGCGAAGCTAACTTCTTCCTTACATTCTTTAATACTCTGGCAAATATCGCATCAGGACCTAGTGACATTTTAGGTTTTAGTTTATTTATATTTATCTATTTGTTTACTAACTAGGTTAATCTGTTTTCCTCACTAACCCTGTAGATAGTCAGTGCCTCGGGTATCATGTTTAAATTCTCATTTATAAAAAATGATGAAAATATATGTTCAGATTATTGCCTTTTTCTCCATCTTTACTAGTTAGCTCACCAGTTTTTGACTGCATAGTCCAATCTTGGCTCGAGTTTTAGTTTCAAACACTTTGAAGAATCCATTAGGATTTGACTTTGCATCCCTTGCTGCCTTTATCATATTATTCCTTTTTACATCTCTTATCTGTCTTTGCCCTACTGGTCAATACTTCATAATAATTTGTAGGTAAGAATTAGCATGATTGATCTCTTACATATAGCCTCTCTTTGTATATTAATATCCTTTAAAAATATATTTATCCAATTGCACTCATTGTTGTTTGATCTCGGTTTTCTGTATGCTACTGCTTTTCTGTCTTTGTGTGTTATAGTACTCGTCAACCTCATATCTCATTGCACATGTCACCCTCGGTCGTCCTACACCGGCCAATATCGTCGCTTCCTGCATTGAGGCAGATAATGGGTTTGTTCCCATTACCAGAAATGATAATGTCTAGTTCCCCTTACCAGACATGATATTGTCTATTTCCTATTGTCCATCCTGTCTACTATCTAAAATACCCCAATTCCTAGAAAACACACTCTCATCCTATTTCTGTCCTTATTACAAATATTTTTATCTTGATTACAAGATTTCATATAAATGCACGTCCTACCTAATTGGGAGTTCAGCATAAGCACCACTAACTTCCACCTAACATTCTGTAAGATAGGAAAGGACAAACCATAAGCAACACGGCTCAGAAAGAGGAGAGATGCAGAGGCAGATATCTCTGACCAGAATTTGGAATAGGATAAAGGAGGAGCACTTGGGTACTGGCAGGAGTGGCTACCCACCCATTCTGTAAGTTTTGCCCATCTGTAAATGCCAGATGAATGTCATTTGATTTACAAGCTTCCACATTATACTACCTAAGGTTGAGGCAAGGCTTTTAAGGGAAGAAGGCTCGACAATTTATGAGAGTGCAATATATTGAGTACACAAGGAGCAACAAAAGGGCATAACACAAAAAGGCTGCGTGGGAACCTAAGCAATTGCATCCATGACTTAGGGACAAGTACCACACCATTCACTTCCCAGGGATGATACTATCTGACTGCACCCTGTCTGGGGTACCACATGGTAGGAAAGATGATGCAGTGGAGTATTTAGGGGGGGGGGTCACTCGGTAATGCTCCCCCCCCCCCTTTTCTCTCACCACTTCTACTACTCATTTGCAACTTCTTTCCTTGAAAGATGGAATCCCTCTACACTAGGGTGTGAGAGCAGTTAAAGTAAAGTAACGAAAAAATGTCTGTTGCTATAACTTACTTAAAGCAAATATAGAGTTGATTTGTTAGTTTTTGTTATTTATGTTTCATTGCCTTTACCTTTGCTTAGAGAAAGCAACAAATGTAAGAGAAATTCAGTTTGCACTAACTGCTATGAGAAAGATAATCACATTCTTCAGGGAATCAAACAAGCATTCAGCTCATTTGCAAAGGTAAAATAATCAAGAGCTGTCCTCCTGACTCTCATAGTAGATTGAAAAAAGCACTGCCTTACAAGATGGGTTGAGTCTCAAGAGTCCACTCAAATCTTCAAAGAGTGTATCCAACAGTTGTAAAAGCACTAGAAGACTTCTCTGCATCGAAGGACTCAACTTTGGTGGGAAAATCCCTATCTTTCTTAAAGAGTATTACATCAGATTATTTCCTTGTAAGTATGGAAGTCCCATAAGCTATATTAAATGTTACGAGACCTTCATCTCAGAAATCGTAAGGTGTTGAGATGGATCTGGTACAAGCTTTTGTCAGGGTGAAGGACTGCATGGAAATGTTGCATGATACATTCAGAAGATTATTTGAGAATGCAGAACAAAACAGTGGGATAGAAATTAAAGCCCCAAGAAGTGTAGGGCGACAACAGACCCGGTCTAATCCACCAGCTGAAGGCGTTAACTCCTATTACAGGCGCACTGTTTCTTTTTTCTTTTTTGCCTTTCATTGACAGAGTTATGCTGTGAAAGAGCGTTTCCATTCTAAGCAAAAGTCTTGGCAAAAGCTCTGCCACCTGATACCTTCTCTTTGTGTAAGCAGAATGTTTTCAGAAGTAAGTGAGGAAGTTCTGATCCACAGAAAGTTCCTTGGTGGTTATATGGAGTAGGTACTGTATAAGCAGGATTTTACAAGATGGCAGAACACTTGGAAAAGTCAGACCAAAAACGGCTGCTGCCTCTCTAAAAGTTTGCAGATAATTTGGCACATACCAAACATCCAAACTCTGATACATATTCTTGCAACACTTCCTGTGACGATTGCTACAAGTGAACGCTCATACAGCTGCCTAAAGTATCTGAAGTCGTGTCTGCGTTCCACTATGTCAAAACAAGTACTGAATGTAATAGCTTTACTGATTGTCCACGTATATATAGAACTGAATTGCAATGAGGTTATCAATAACTTTGGTCGTAAGAACAGATTATTTGACTTTGGACTTCACAAGGCTGATTCTTTCTCTCTCTCTCTCTCTCTCTCTCTCTCTCTCTCTCTCTCTCTCTCTCTCTCTCTCTCTCTCTCTCTCTCTCTCTCTCTCTCTCTCTCTCTCTCGCGCGCGCGCTCTCTCTCCATCTCTCAATCTATCTCTTAATCTATCTATCTATCTATTAACTCCACTGCCACTTTTGTGTTCTATGAATTCAATTTCCTATATACTATATAATTTGTTTTATAACAGTTTCAAAATGCAACTGCAACTTAAACCTACTGTGTACCCGCATATTTTGCAGTCACGTAAATAAAATAAGCTTGCTAAAAAAAGTTAATGAAAAATTTAAAAGGGTATTCTTTACTTTGCCTTATCTTGAGACTCAGGAGACTAGCCACCCACCCCCCTTTCCATGAGCATCCTGTATATACGCCAAGGGGATGACGTAATAACCCAGGTAAAATCATTACAGTATTAATAGGGAGAAGGCCTGGGTTTTAGATAATATTGATACATAAACATAAACATAAATAATAGCACCATCCCATGACACCTGGGATATAATGTCTGCACACTCACACATACCTTCCTGTTTTAAATATTTATTACTAAAAAAACTAAATTAATATAGTTTGGTGCATCATATTCCATAGTTAATCGATTTTTTTTTACTGGTGCAGTGGATTTGAGAGGTATTATCTTGGTGGAGAAGATGAGGATTAACAATGAAGAGAAAGCGCAATGGTTTGTCTGGTTTGCAGAGACCAAATCAGTGACAACAGTGCAAAGACAATACCGCCAAAGGTATGGTAAAGAGCCACCCTCAAAACCCAGAATTAGGGCATGGTTTCAAGAGTTTCTGGAAACAGGCAGCGTTTGTGACTTGCTCCGAAGTGGACGCAGAAGGCCCAAGAGTCCATTGAATCTGCTTATACAGTGCAGATAGTCCAAGCATTATATATATACTAGCGGAATCGCTACACTCCGGGCGGCTCTTTCGCTATGCCACGGTAGGTCGCCACCTTCCGGGAGGCTCCACATTGTCTCACTGTAGTGCATTAAGGGAGACCAAATTTTTGGTTTTGCCATTAGCAGCAAGTACAGTATGTACCGATTTTCGCCAGTTCCCACTCTGGAGCATCCAACATAGAACTGTCCATGAGAGAAGCAAGGAAACACCAGGTTTAGGCCAACCTTCTTTTGGGAATGTCCCTGACTTTTGTAGATGGTCATGGCAAAGCACACTTTAACCGGGAACTGAAGCCGCTTGAACTCAAATGGTAGGTCACTGGTGATGAGAGGTATCCTTGGTATGAAAACGTTCTCTCCTGTCAGTATTGTAGCTTCCAGTACATGTGGCATTATGTTCTTCACCACCAGCCTTGTGCCATTGCAGAGGATTGGTGGTTCAGGATTTCTTAAGAACATTATAGGAGTTCCAATCTTCAGAGTGAGCTGGTGAGAAGGCATTCCAGCGGGCTCCAAAGAATTTAGGAATTCTTCAGGGTATTGGACTGCTTGGTCCTGGTCGATTACTGTATCAACAGATTTGAATGAGGTCTCACTGCCTGTAAGCTGTCTGAATAGAGTCATGTTGATTTCAGCCGCTGTTTCATTCTTTGGTCCCAGAATTGTATGTTCACGCAGCCACTTGTGATCCTTGTGTGGTGGATAATGTTTGGGTAGACCATGTTAGCGATCTCAGTTGATGACTTTACAACATTTCCACATCCTTGAGGAATGATTATTTGTCCTTCTGAATCAACAGGGAAAGTTCCATTCCCAATCTGTAGTAGAAGGTTTGCAAACCGCCCAGCATCCTGATCTCCTTGTAGATGTACTCTCATGTTTGTGGATAGGGTGAGTGTCTGAACACTTCTCCAAAGGTATGATGCCTTGAGGCACGCATTCAGTTCATCAGCTGGAGTGCTTCGAGGAATGACAGGTAGGGTCTGGCTAAAGTTTCCAGTAATGACCATTGTAATGCCACCCATGAGATAGACATTTTCTCGTATGTCTTGCAAGGTCCTGTCCAATGCTTCAAACGCTAACTTGTGAGACATAGTGCATTCATCCCAGAGTACGAGGCTGCATTTTCTAAGAGTTTTGCCTTTGCCGATCCTTTTTTGATGTTGCAACACTTGATTCAAATTGTGAGAGAGGTTGAGAGGCAGTTTAAAAGTTGAGTGTGCAGTACGTTCTCCTTCTAGTAGTGTTGCAGCAATGCCTGAGAATGCCACAGCAAGATCAATTTTCCCCTGATGACGTACTTTGGTCAACAGAAGGTTGATGAAGAATTTTTCTCCTGTCCCGCCAGGTGCATCGAGAAAGATCATACCTTCCTGCTCCTCTTGTATCGCTTGCAAAATCTGTTCATAAGCATTTGCTTGATCAGGCATCAGGTGAGGCTCATTTTTTTTAAGAAATTTCACCAGAACTGCACCTGAGTAGTCTGTCTCTCTGAGCAACTCCCTGTTTGCAACTACTGGTTCTTCTCGGTTTGGGGATGTCAATCCAAAACAAAATCAATCAGGTTTTTTCCGCATAGCTCCACCACTTTGTCTTCCAGCATGATCAGAGCCCTGTTGAACACGTCATCCATGAATTCAATCTCTTGACCAGGATGTTCTCTTCTTGCTTGATAAAGCAGATCCCCTGAAAGACTTTCTTGGTGGTTTTTCCAGAGCTGGCTAGGGTTGGAAAGTCCAAATGTAGCAATCATGAGGGCAAACAGGTTCCTCATTCTCATTGGCGATTGAGTAGCTGCTGCCTCTTCTAATGTGTCTTTCCAGTGACCATCATCTTCCAGTAGGCCAAGGAGATTGCACGCTTCCTCATAGGTTCTGCAGACTTGTCCATTGACTGTCTTGAGTGCTGCATGTGATGTTGGGCCACGGATGTGGTGCAAAAGTAGTCTCAAACAATAGCATACAAAATTGTTGGGGTGAACCGTGTAGACACGTCCCAAAACATTGCCTGACTATATCCTTTCATATCCTTCAACGGTACAGCAAAGTATATTTTTTTAGCATTAAACTGTTATTATTTTATTGTCTAATCATCACTACATATAACACCACCCATCCTCACTACATATAACACCATCCATCATCACTACATATAACAACATCCATCATCACTACATATAACACCATCCATCATCACTACAGATCGGTAAAATAATTTCCGAGATTCTCGAGCGGACACACAAACAAATAAACAGATAAACAAACAGACAGACTTCTTTGTTATATATAAATATAAATATATATATATATATATATATATATATATATATATATATATATATATATATATATATATATATATATATATATATATATATATATATATATAAATATATATATATATATATATATATATATATATATATATATATATATATATATATATATATATATATATATATATATATAACAAAGAAGTATGTCTGTGTGTTTGTTTGTTTGTGTGCCCGCACGAGAATCACGGAAACTACTTTACCGATCTGTAGTGATGATGGATGTGTTATTTGTAGTGATGATGATGGATGGTGTTATATGTAGTGATGATTTGACAATAAAATATTAACAGTTTAATGCTAAAAAAATATACTTTAGTCTACCGTTGTGGTGAAAAACATGGTGGAACTTACATACACCGTTAATGAACTATTGATGGAAGAAAAAGTTTTGGGTATTGAACAGTGAGACAATGTGGAGCCTCCCGGAGGGTGGTGTCCTACCGTTGCTTAGCGGATCAGCTGAACGGAGGGCGGCGATTCTACTAGTATTTATATAAAACAAAGAAGTCTGTCTGTTTGTTTATTTGTTTATTTGTTTGTGTCCGCACGAAAATCTAGGAAATTATTTTACCGATCTGTAGTGATGATGGATGGTGTTATATGTAGTGATGATGGATGATGTTATATGTAGTATAATGAGACAAAACTCACAAGAAGAGGATATTAAATATAGGTAGAATATTTATAGTAGGAAGAATGTAAAGAGAGGAAGTTTGGTAGCGTGGCCGGTTAGTTATTTACACTTATATTTTCTTATACGTTCTTAAGGGACAACTTTTCAAACACCACTTTGATACAACTATTTATTACTTCACTCAATGACAGACACATTAATATCAATATTATATTTACGTTACTGGATACTGACTCTCGGACACAAACATGAATGAATACACTTCCCACAGTAGGTAACTCACTCTATGGATAGCTCTGACAAAGACTCACATGTGCCCTGATGGAGGCCCAGCGGGTGCTGCTGGACTATCTCGTATGGGAGACACTGCTTAGCTGGTGAAGTCGGGGTCTGATCGGGAAGTCTCCCTCCCGACCTGGGGAGAGGACGAGCGTAACTCTGTATGAGTGAACAGAATGACGACCCGAACGGGAGAGAGATGAGTCAGATGAGAATAATGAGTATAATGCGAAAGAGCCCGTGGACGGGACTTCAGGGCCTTTATATGGGGGAGAAACAGCCAGTGGTTGACCCCTGCCAATTAACACTAAACTGGTTAGATCTGGACAGCCCTATTTGCCCAGGTGCGTGGTCATGCCCGGGTGTGTCTTGGCTAGGTGTGGTTTGGTCAAGTCATCCTCTAACTCACATAATTAGTGGCCGGGGTCAGGTCCCTTGGGTCCTGACCCAGGGTGTGTCAACCTGGTATGTTGGGGTACGACGAGGCCTGTACTGTACTCGCTGTTATATGTATTGTAATCCTCTGAGCTGTAAGCTGTGGTCTGATAAACAATCATTACAATTCCCGCCAAGACCAAAGCTTCCTTCACAGCGAACTGATGAAACATATAGACAAGAATATCATGTGCAGTATCTAAGATAGTCCCTGAGGCGATAATGCAGTCTCACATTTACAAACAATAATCTCATAGATGTATGTTTTTCTACTGGCTATGTTTGATCTGACAAAGCTTACTATACCTCTGGCCAAGATCAAAGCTTCTATGCCAGGAGAAAAAAAAAGCACAGTAAGTGAACATAGAATGAAAAGATCCTTCATATCTAGCATTGTATCTGAGACAAACTTGCAAATTGCATTCTACAACAATAACAGGTGTTACATCTTCTTACTAGGCCGTGTCAAAATAATAATTCATCCCAGTCAGTAATATGGCTACAACTTTGTGTTCCGTAGTGCAAAACATTGATCAAATGAACTCAAAGAAAAAGTGACTAATCTTTCTTAAAAAAAAAAAAAAATTCTTTGTCGTAAATATTAACAAAAATCAGAGAATGAAATACTTCAAAATACACAAAAAATGTGCCTACTTCACATGTTAGGGTGTTATATCTTGTTATTGGATATAAACAACATCAACAACATCAGTACATTAGTGTGGTCCAGCATGGCTCACGTCCTCCATCCAGCTGGTATAGGAGATAGGGGATACCGGCAGCACAGCAGCGATAGTCGGTTGGTCCTTCATCGTCGACTTTTTTCTGATGTCAGCACAGCACGTCTTCTGTCTTCTTTCTTCACATAACAAGTCTTTCTTTCTTCAATACCGCACCTTGTAGGTCGTGTCTCCATACCTTCTGACTTCTTCTCACTTCTTCCTGGTTTCTATCATATTCCAGATGAATTTTTCTAGCCCTATCTGCGTTTTTCTGTACAGCAACATTTTCCAATATATTCCAGATGAGGTTTTCTAGCCCCACCTGCGTTTTTCCTCTACGTTTAGAGCATCATTTTCATATTCCAGATGATTTTTCTGTTCCATCTGCACTTCCTGTACGTGTAGAGCATCATTTTTCGACCTATTCCAG